CCAGCTCTTGGGAGGCTGTAACCAGGTGGATCACCTTGCATCTGATCCAGTAGTGAGACCCTGAACACCCTGTAGACCCTTTCCTAAAATACAAAGAATAAATAAATTTTCCCCCACCAAGCCAACAGCTGCAAAGGCAGGGAGCCTCACTGAGCCTGACATGCTGGCCTTAAGCAGATAGGCCCAAACAAGCTACATCTTAGAATTGTACAATGGGAGCAAGTTTTACATCTTAGTCCCAGATATACTTGTGCTTCAACAGAAAAATATTTTCTTCTAAATCTAACCAACACTCCAAGGCTGACCTTGTTTAGCTCTTCACGTTCCCCCTCTTCGAGAATGCACGCTTAGGGGGTGTATGGAAACCCCAATTTGTAAATCATGGTCTTAGTCCCTTCTCTTCAATACACCATACCCAGCATGGAAGGGAGAATCGCACAGCACTTAACTGTGTACTGAACCGCAACGTGCTCCAATCATTCACTATCAGTACTAAAATCCTGCCAGAAAAGAGCAACCAGGTCATTAAAACGCAGAATCCTTCATGTTCTTATTCTCTACTGAGCAGACTTGACTTCCATGCCCCATTGCATTGGAAGACTGAGTGATCATCTTATTTTTCCCAGGGCAGTTTTCAAAGCTACATTGAGCAATTTTAGAACCCAGCTCCACCTGTCAGGAAATATACAGGTCTGGGACTGCAGCAGGCTGTTTTGTCTCAAAGGCCAGCTTCTTCATGGAGATCAAGGGCACTGTTTTCCAACACGAATGCGCTACAGTGCTCCCCTGTGCTGGCAGAATTCTCACTTTACCTTGCTGTCAACAGTCCCACGTTAGGCTATTTCTCTAGCTGGCTGCAGTGCAGGCTAGCGAACATTTGAGGAGCATTGGCTTGCTATCTGTGTGCATGCCAGTGTGTCACAGGATCTGGGAGCTTCCAGCTGTGTGCAGGAAGATTCCCAAAGTCCCAAGGTACTTCAGGAAAAACAGGGCTCCATCTGGAAGCGGTGTCAGGGAAGACAGAATGTACATCAGACAGGAAGATTCTATGAGAGATCCAAGGATAAGTCTTCAGAAAAAATAAACCCCAGGGAGTCTCAGGTCTCTGGAAGCAGCTCTGGCTACAGTGACGAGATAATGAAATAGAAGAAATGATTCACAGAAACATCAAGAAGGGCTTATCTCTAGCCATTTACCCCTTAAAAGAATCCCTGTTTGTTGGCCTGCCTGCCTGTCTGTCTGTCTGTCTCTCTCTGTGTGTGTGTGTGTGAGAGAGAGAGAGAGAGAGAGAGAGAGAGAGGAAGAGTTAATATTACCTATAATAGCAGGAAGCTTACCTAGTATGTCTCAGCTCATAATAACATAAAAATGCTTGGGACCCCAAAGAATAGACACTGGCTACTCAGCATGGCAAGCACCCCATGTGAGGTGTTTCTTTTCAGCTGCTCATCACACAAAAATTGCAAGAAGCTGACAGCATTTGCAAACAAAAAGCAAACAGAGAAGGAGCAGGGTAAATGCAAGTCTCCGTGGTGCTGTGAGATCTATAGAAACAGCCTGCTGGGGAGAGGGTTACCTAGGACAAGTGAACCCCCATTTCTCCCTCCTACTCCCAGCCCCCTAGTCCACACTCACTGCTGGCCAAAGGCCCAGACCAAGCTCCAGGGGAGGGAAGCCCAATTATTCTAATGGGTCCCTTTACCCCCAACTGCTGAAAGAATGACATATTTGTGACAATTCATTTATGCCTCAGTGGAGTTGCCCTCCGAGGCAGAGGGGCAGGACACAGGCTCCAGGCTCCAGGTTCTGTTCCTTCACCCTCACATCTGCACTTTCTTGGGACCCTTCCTATTTCTATGTAACGGGAAATGACAATGAATAAGTGAAACTTTTTCTACAATCTGATTTAGGAGAAAGGTACAGTTACGCAGTCTCCAACTCATGTGAATCTGATAAAGCAATGGCTGCATGGTTATTTCTCTTGAAAGTCAGATTTTAAGTCTTATACATAATCCGTGAATTTTTAGCCTAAGTATATCTCACTTCATATAAATCATACACAGTATGAGAACAGAACTGACAACACCAAGAGATGGTTACTCCTATTTCTGAAAGGGTCACTTTTTTAGTTTCTTCCAGTGAGTGAGTCCTGTATCTTGTTTACAATATGTTTTAAAAGTCACCTCATCTTTCCAGAAGCACAAAGGCCACTTAAGTTAAAGTCATATTGTATTTTTATTAAATGTCTGTAAGGCTTCTCAATGGTCACCTTGTCCATCTCCAGTGTTGTCTCCCTAAAGGAACAAGGACAACAAAATCCTTCTCTTTCCTCCATAACCATGGTTAACCCCTCAACAGCAAATTCTTCCTAGGAAAATTTTAGGCATATTTAGATTTCTGAAGAATACGAAGCCTAACATTGTTTTCCAAGGTAGAGCTTGCAAGTGGGGGGCAAGATAAAATACTGTATACAGTTCGCATAAACAGAATAATCCAGATGCTCTGGAGATAAGAAACCAGGCCTGCTGAGCCAGTGGAGTCACGTGCTCTCTGCACAGAGCACCAGGAAGCAAGCAACAAGCATCCTTCCTTTTCTCAGCAAAACAGTGCATTGGGTCAGCAACGGGCAGGAATCCAGAAGGCAGCAGGAAACAGGGAGAATCACACGGCACCCCAAAACACAGAGGGCTGAGCCTCCATGCTGCTGGGAGGTTCTTTCCAACCGTGAGCAGCAAGAACAGATGAAGATGCAGACACAGCAGCACACAGTGAGGAAGCCGCCCGGAGTGCATTCACATGAGCACATGCATGCTCCCTGCTACCTGTCACAGCCCGTGCTCTGTGGCATTGATAAGGAAACATTGTAGACTTTTTTTTTTTTTTTTTTTTTTGAGATAAGGTCTTGCTAAATCACTAACCTGCCTGGGCTGGGCCCAAACGTGTGATCCTCCTGTCTCAGCCTCCCAGAGTGCTGGGATTACAGGCATGCTCACCACACTCTATCTGGAAACTCTTAAAAATCAAACACGTCCACCCCTGAAAGATCTTTTCATTGATGTGATTATATCAATTCACATTCAATGTATCAGAAATTAAAGCAGAAAGACTATCAGTACCAATTCATTTTAACATAATCATAAACCTATCACACACTAAACACAAATAGCATTTTTACCACCACTGTTTTCCCAGAGGAAAACCAAGAAAGAAAGCAGTGAAAAGAGTGGCACTGTGTCACATTTTTGCAAATGTCCTTCATGTCAGGCCTAAGAGAAGAGAATTCCATTGCATCAGATTTACTGTGCCGCTTCGGGTCATGTGGGCTCAGGTTATGAGGGGAAAAAAAGGACAAATAATATATTTGTGTTCTGATCTTGAAGACTTGTAGAAAAAGTCTTGGGGGGCCGGGGAGGTAGCTCAGTAGAATAAGTGCATGCCTGGCAAGTGCAAGGGCCTGAGTTCAATCCTCGATTCTGAAAAAAAAAAAAAAAATTCTGAAAAAAAAAAAAAAAAAAGAGAGAGAGAGAGAGAGAGAAAGACAAAAAGAAAAAGTCTTGGGGACTTTTCAGGGCTATGCATTGAGAGCCCTGCATGATCAGTCAGGGGCAAGAATTGTCCTGGTTCAGTAAACTGAGGTAGAGAGGTGAAAGTTGAGTACTCCTAGACCAGCTCAGAGCAGGCAACTGCTAAGTACGGCAGCCTCACCTGTTTGCTGCAAAGATGGAATGTGTTGGAAACTAGGAGGTTGGTGACCTCGGGAAATGTATCACAAGTGCTCAGTAAAAGTGTCTCCCCGGTACAGAAGAGCCGGAGATCATTTCACTCTGACACCAAGGAGAAAAACTAAACCCCCACCAGATGCTGTCTGCAGGGGTCCCTGCCTGCAGACCCTTCCCCAGCCTACAGGAGGGAAGCAGCTCCTGGCTGCTAGGAAACTCCGGGGTCTTCTTGTAACCTCACCAGACGAGTGAGTTGGTGGCTTGGGCATTTCGTCACCCTGTTCCTTGAGAAACTTGAGCAAACCCAGAGAGCTGCTCCATTATTTACAGACTCCTTTTTGCATCACTCCACACATAGGAGCAAAGCGGGCCTCCAGCGTGGGCAGCCAGGCCTCTCTCTCAGGAGTGTGCATGGGGGTCCTGGCATCAGGTCCTGGAAACTGGGCAGTTCTACCTGTCCATCAACCTGCTGACCCCACCCGGCAGCCCCAGCACCCTACAGTGCCGCAGATCACGTCTCTTTCACGGATTTGGGAAGTGAGTGCCACTGGGGAAGTGGATGGTGCAGTTCACGTCATCACACTCTCCAATGCACCCGCAGAAGACAGGCAAAAGGAGAACTTAGGCTCCTACTTCCTCCTAGGACAGGGCAGGACACCTCTCCCAGGAGCAGCCTTGTCACCTGCCTCCTAGCTCCACCTTGAGACTGCCACTCACCCCTCAGACCACACACACACACACACACACACACGATTCTCCAACTCTCAAAGGGATCTTTAAAAAGTCAAGGTCAAAGTTCTGGTTAAAACACCCAAGGTTCCCTACTCAGTCGGAACAAAAACCAAAACTTCTTACTACCGTTTCCCAGGACGCGCTTCACCAGGAGCGCTCTCTGGCCAGCTCCCCCACGCGCCCGAGGCGTCCCTCCCTAGGCTGTCCCCAAGGTCTCGGGCTGCGGCGCCCCTCGGGGGCCTCCAGCAGCCCGCGAAGAGACCTTTGCTGCATCAGAAGTTGCCTCTCCTCCACACGCTGTTAGAGATGTCAGAGCACCCCCTACTCTCCAGAGTTACTGGTCTGCTGCACACCCCCTTCCGCGCGCATCCTCCAGTGCGTCGGTTCCCGACTGCAGGGGATCCCCAGGCGCCCGCGACCTCCCCGGCGCTGGACCTGGCACAGACCGAGCCCTTAGCTACCGCGGATGCGCTGAATGGAGCCACGGCTCCCGCGCAGCTGGGCTGCGGTCCGCGGGGTGAGTCGCGCGCCCCCGCCCGGCGAACTCACCATGGTGGCCGGGCCGCCGCCGTCTCTGCCGGCAGGACGCGGGGCTCGAAGGCCGGAGCACAGCGCAGAAGCCCGCGGGGCTGGCAGGTGCGCGCCGCTCAGACCATGGCTGCTTCCCACAATGCCCCAAAAGGAAAGTTCCCTGACTCCTCCCTCCGCTCCTCCCACCCCTGCTCTCCTTCCACCTCCTCCCCATCCTTCTCCTCTTCCTCTTCCTCTTCCTCTTCCACGCCGCTCCAGCTCCTCTCTGGCTCCACTTCCTCCTCCTTCCCCCTCAATCCTCAACGCTCTGCTCCTAGAGCCCCTTTCCGGGCCACGCCCCCTAGTGGCCACGCCCTCTCCTGACCACACCCCCGCGCCACAGGTGTGCGGCCACCTGCGCGCGTCGCCTCCATGTCCTGCGCGCGTCGCCTCCACGTCCTGCGCGCTGCTCTCACCCGGCGCCTGTTTTTTGATCGCTCCGCACCGCTGTGTCCTGAGCTCCCTCCACAGACGCCCGCCAGCCTTGGCCCAGATACTTCCTGATACGCTTAGGGCGTCCTCCGGTAGAGGGACGGAGGGGGAAAGAGGAGACCTTTGCCCCGACGTGCACGGTTCGTGTTTCACACATGGAACCCTGCAAGCCCAGGACACCGATCATTTAATCAAGCCGCCTCCGCGCCACCGCTTAGGGGCTTGCTCCTGAGCAATGAGCGTCGCGGCTTGGTTTCCTAATTCCGCTCCTCTGCTTCATTTCTTAGGATATTAATCTGGGGCTTTGGGCGTCTCCACGCCCCCAAGTTGGAACCACAGTTTTGCGTATCATCGTTAGCGGGTACTGTGAACCGTATCCGTCTGATAGCTAAAGAGAGGGCTCAGCGTTCCGGCATGAATACCACCCGCCGTTATTCTGCACGGTGGGGGATGTGGTGCTGCAGGAACCCTGGGGACCAGCCCAGAGCGCACAGCCACCTCCCTCCCTCCCTCCCGAAGCCCACAATGTCCTGTGGGGCGACAAGCGATGAACTAGTAAATGATGGCAAAGCAAGTGAATTCCAGGAAGGAGACGCTGGGGATGGGCTCAGAAGCTGTGGAAATTTGGCTGGGCGCTCATGGAAGTCCATAACCACCACCCCCACCAAGTAACAGAAGACGTGGATGCAGAGGTACTCTGAAGGGGGATTGAGTCGTCCATCTGGAAAGACCCCAGAGAAAGCCTGTGTCGCTGGAGTTCGGTGACAAGAGGTCTAAGAGGTGACCAGGAGCTGCGGGAATGGGCCTTCTGGGCCAAGAGTAGGGCTGCAGCTACTGAGGAGTCCCCAGAAGCCCACCGCACACTCTGACAACCCTTTCAAACCTGGAGAGGGGGGTATCTGCAGGGGTGTTGGAAAAGGACTGGACAATTGATCTCCAGACCATAGCTGGTGGGCAAGGTGGATGGATCATGCTTGTAATCCCAGATACTTGTAAGGCTGAAGCAGGAAGATCAAAAGTTCAAGGCCAGCCTGGGCGATGTAGGGAGACTCTATCTCTAAATAAATGAAAAAGGTTAGGGTGTAACACAGTGACAGAGTTCAATCCATGGCACCACAAAAGCAAACAAACCGAAAGTCCACACAGGGTACTGGGTAGAAAAAGAAAGGAATTTTAGAAAGCTGCATCCTAAACTCCTGCACTGGAGCGCGCGCGCGCGCGCACACACACACACACACACACACACACACACACACACCCTTCCTTTTGGCTTTACCCAGCACTCTAAGAGATGGTGCCCTAACCATGAGGTTCAAAGCTACACAAGTCTTGGTGTTCTTGTCAGAAGGACAAGTCAAAATTAAACCAGAAGAATTTTCCCTTAATGTGTGCGCTGCATTGGAAGAGAGTGGGATTAAGAAAGAGGAAGTTTAACTTACAAACTATTAGCATCCTTTGTCTTCCTTCTTGACCTTGCTGAAACGGGAAGTGGGCATTCTCTCACATAGATTTTCTTTAGAGTTTCCTATGTAGTTGGGGACTCTTGGAGATCCTCCTGCATTAGCCTCCTGAGTGGGTTTTTCATTCCATATGCTCACACCAGACCCAAAGTCATCGCAAGAGAGAGGCCTGCTATGGGCTGGACATTTTACATAAGTGACTTTACTGCCCTCCAGATAAACCATCAGGAAAGAGGCCCTGTGCCCACTGTGGGGAATGACAGCCTAAGGTTCCAAGACAGCAGGACTAATAAAGTGGGGTGAGACAACTGGGCACAGGCCAAGATGAGCCTGAATTTGAGGAACCAAGACCCAAGCTGATTTCCCCAGGACCCCACATCTAGCAGGCCTACTTAGGACACTGAGGTGGGAATAATGCAGGGTTTCTCAGATGTGCAGCTCTTTCTGCAGAATAACCTGCCTTTCTTAGTTTGACTTCCCTTCCCATCTTTGCACCCTTCAGAACTCTGGCTCCCACCAGTAACTGTTACGGTCATTATGCATGTCCACAACACACTAGAACTTTATGCGATATCCTATCCTCAAACTGTTAGAAGTGCTGGTCATTTATTTGCCATTCAAGTATTTATCTTATGTTTTACTCTTAGTACTTCTTTGCTATCATGAAAACTTTTTCTTAGTTCAATTGTTTTGAATCAATTTTCTGAATATTGCTTAATCTTAATTTTTGTTCTAAGATTTATACTGTATCTTTGACTTACAACTTATTTAAAAAGACATTGTATGATACCTTCTAGTATTAGAAACTTTAAAAAGTAAAAAGAAAAAAAAAGAGTAACTGAATGATTTAGAGTACAGGCAGTGACTAAGGAACATGGGCACAGTAATGCAAAGATTTAAAAAAATTCTATAGCTTTAAAAATTGAAAGCTTATTAGAAATTTCTGGGGATGAGAAGGTGAATGTGGAGGGAGGGAGGGATGACAAGGGACAGGCAGAGGTTTGGGAGAATGATGGATATGTACATTATTTTGATCATCCAGACTGGTGCATGGTCATACATGTGTATGAAAACATGAACTTTCACCTGAAATATATCCAGATTATTGTATGTCAAGTTTACCTCCATAAAATTGTTGAAAATTTAAAAAAAAATAAATGAATATATGTGAAAAAAGAACTCTGGCTCCCTGGTGGATCTACTGATAGTCATGCCAACCTTCGGGAGGACCCAGAGACCTCAACCCAAGATCTTGAGGCAGCATCGAGGATTTCCCTGGCCACAACCCAAGATTCTCCTCACAGATCTCACGCTATAAATGGTTGTTCACACAGGTACAGAGAGAATGCAGTGATAGCTGGCCCTCAGTCGCCGCCCCCACCGCCGGGGCGAGCACCAAATCAGCTGAAGTCTATGTACCAAAACTCTACCAACTTTTCAGAAACTTCGGAAGAGCAAGCTATGGGTTCAGAATAATAAAAGCAGAAGGCACGCTGCAAAATCAGCTTGCACCCTGCTTGCCAGCAACACACTTATTTAAATGAGACCTGACTCTGCTGTTCTTTGCTACTCTTCATTAACGTCTCCAGGGATCACCACGCTCAGCGAGCACCTCTTGCCTCCGGGTGAATTCATCTTGTGGGGTGGAACTTTTAGTTCTAGGCCTCGAGTGCCATACAAACTCCCTCTCCTTTTCACAGAGCCTATTTATTATAAATAGAAAGCCACCCATCTATGTCTAGAGCATCCTTCCAGAAATTGTTCAATTATGAAATAATATGAGTTCATTGTAGATTTGGAAAATGTGTAAAGGTGTTCTTTTGTAAAACCTCATTCTTCGCTTTGCCATCCAGAAATTCCCACTGTCAATGTTGGTGTCTTTCTGTTAGGGTTTTTGCTGTGTGAGTGTCCAGGAGAGGAAGAGGTTTTGTTTTTAAAGCACAAATCAGAGTCCTCCTGCTATGGTTTGATGATGTGTCCTCCCCAGTTCCTGCACACTTGGTCCCTCAAGGGGGAGTCCTAGGAACTGGGTCTGTAGGGAGTAATTAAGGCCGAAAGCTCTGCCTTCTGGAAGGGCTGGAGGTAAACAGTTTAGAAGACACAACCCAAGTCTTCTCTCAGGAGCAGCATTTACAGGGCCGCCTTGAAAGGGAAACTGAGCCCTCACCAAACATCAAACTGCCGGTGCCTGGACCCGGCCTCACAGCCCCAGAATTGTGAGAAATACATTTGTTCTCTTTCTATAAACCAGTCACAGGGAGTTACTTACAGCCACAAGTGGACCAAGATACCCACCACAGGTCCTGTTTGCATGCAGTTCCATGTTTTGTTTTTGTTTTGTTTTGTTTTTACAGAAGCAGTTATTGAACAAATATTTATTGAGCATCTACTCTGTGCCATCAACTGTGCTTTGCATTGGTCCCAGAACAGTGAAAACAGAAGACAGAGCCCCTCTCTGAGTGAATGAACAGCATGATAGGGAAGACACATATTAAACAAATTACACACATAAACGTGTAATTAACGCCAGTGCTGCGAAAGGATCAGGCGCTACGTAAACACGTAATAAAGAAATGCCGAGTCTCCAAGATCCATTCCCCTGCTGCCTGCATTCGGCTTTTGGGTTTGAGACAACTCATCCATTGACTTTGACCTGGAAGAGCAGCACAGGACCCGGTCCTGCCTACTGTTATTTTCCTTTCAACGATGCTTGGTTCTAAAATAACCACGTGCCACTCAAGGAACCCAACCCAATGAGACTGAATTCTGGGAAATTTTCTGGAATCCTCTTTGCGCAGCACATACACTCCTGCTTCCAGGTCTACCTGTGCAGGAAGCCAAAGCAGCTGCAGCCATTTGAGCTCCATGAAGATCAGCTTCTCTAAGGAGCCAACATCAAGACTGCCTGACCAGCGGGTGGAGAAAAGAAGCAAGTCCTGGTGACACATTTTGAGGCCTGGATCAAGCCTGAAGCCAACCCAGAACTTCGTTCAAGCCTGAACCAGTTTGGATTGTTCCTGGCGCCTAAATATGGGTCCTGTGCTGCCGTTCCAGGTCAAAGTCCATGTATGAGTGTGTCCTCAAACCCAAAAGCCGATCTGTAGACATAAGCATGTCAGGGAAGGGTTCCCCGGGCATGATGTGTAAACTGAGGCTTGGGAAGCCAGCCAGAGTCCTGTTCAGCTAGGGCCTGCCTGCACCTACAGCTCAAACTATTTTCCCTATGTTTTCCTCTAGGAATTTCAAATTTTCAGGCCTTACAGCT